AGGAAGCGGAGGTGACTAGTAAGTGGAGTGGATCCAGTCCAGTGAAGGCCTTTTATAAAAGGGTAACTGATGGGGGGGCCAAGGGACCTTTCTCTTACTGAACCAGATATGTGCGCAAGCTGCCAGCGGATGCAGTCGGACTTTTTTTTTTTCCCAAGCTGGTTTTGCTATTTTTGGGGTAGAATGCTTCAAAGTATCTGGCGCGTGGCATCAAGTTTCATGCAGTAGAAATAGTGAAGAATTGCAGCAACTGTACTTCAATGTCTTCTAGTGTTTGTTCATAAGGAGTAGGATTGTGCTCCGAAAGCCTCCTTGGCCGGGAGGAGGGAGGAAGGAAGAACTCCGTCCCTGTGGGGAAGAGCTGCGGTCCCAGAGCCCTGGCAGCGGCTGTTCAGGAGCAGTCGGCTCCTTCTGAGGCAAGTAGGGTGGAATACAGGGAAGGTGTTTCGGGCGGGGGGGTATGCTGTGGGAGACATGGGTAACGTGCACTCTGTGGGTTAGTGTTACCGTGCTCTCCAGTGCATTTTGGAAATGGGTGTTGGGACACTTTGTCACCAACAGGTGTTTAATAATGCTGCCCATCCTTCCCTCTACGTCTCGTCTTGCTGTCTTCATGACAGCAGGTGACAATAAATCCCATCTGTTTCGTCATCCTGGTGATGTCACTGTGTGAATTCAAACCCTGGATTGTTGTCATCATTCATACAGGCTGTTGCTTAGGAACATGACAGCGTGAATCGCTTCCGTTAGGAGAATGCATGGACAGAGTATGTAAGTTAGTGCTGCAGATCTTTTTAAAACTCCTAAAGGGAATTGGATTCATCTGTCCGTTACGCTGCACCTGATTCGCCTACTACCAGCTGCCTCAGAGGACAGGACTGTTCACTCCTGGTAGCTGTTCTTTAACCTGCCCATAGGGAAAAGCTGTTCCGAATCCCCAGCAGCTGATAGTTGCTGTTATGTGTCTGAGAAGAAAGTTTTGGAAACTAGCTGAACTCTACTTTAAACTGCAATACTAGGTTTTACTTGGAGTTTCTTTCTTCTGTTCTTTTACTTGCATGCTTCTCTGAAGGAAAAACTTAGCCAAAGCAGTGCTAGCTACCCTGGGAACGTGATGGAAGAACAAGAATTATTGTGCACTGAGCACTGGAATTCTGATGAATTTGAAGGGGGAGTGGGGAAGGAAGGCTGGTACCTAGGAGTTAATCACTAGGCAGTAATTTACAGTGCCTAATAACATCTTGGGGTTTTTGGTGTACTGGGAAAAGGACTGCTGTCGACCAGAGATGATGTTGCTCAGCCACGTGGCAGCACAGGAACCAGTGCCAGGCTGTACTTCTGCTCACTGAGAGCTGAGAGGTACTAAAGACCGGTGAAATTCTTCTGGGTTGCTTCTGTGGAACTGCGTATTTTAATGGATCTTTTAAAATACAAATACATAAGAAATTATTCTTGGACACGTTAAATTGAACTTTACTTGCCTATAAAATTTGTGCTGCAAAGTTGATCCTCAGAGTGGTTGGATGAAAGGATGTACGAGGGGTTCGTTCATAGGTTTTTCTTAGCTCTGTCTGTGCGTTATGGGCTTAAGAAGAGGAACAGAGGAGGGGAAGGGGAGCCAGGTAGTTGAATCCAGCATCTGGCTGTTGCAGTTGTACTAGCAAAAAACCCTTGTTTTGCTTATGAAACTGCGTGTGTACTGTTTTCCCCACACAGGTATAATGGCTGAGAGGGGATTTATGTCCGTGATCCTAATAGCCGCAGAACTCATCTGCACTGGTGTTCTAGCTGATTTACAGATTCAGACAGGGGTTTGGTCCCAGAAGAGCTTTATCCAAGAGAGCAAACAAAAAACCTGATGTGACATCTATTTTATGTCCTCATTTTTAAATTTTCTCTCTCTTTCTTTCTTGTTCTAATTCTGTAACATGGAGTCGGTAGACAAAGACAGGGCAAACCGAGTCTATGTTTGAGGCCTTTCCTAACTGACAGTGGGGATGAAATGCAAATAAGTGGGGAAGGGAGGAATATGATAAGCAATGGCTTTCTTGGAGTTGATGTTTCTGAGAAATGGACTGCCTGCAGCGTGGCTGCATGCTGATAGGGTAGTGTCAGCGTGTGACTTTGGCGTTAATAGGGAAAATTTAAGAAACCTTTTCTGTGGGTAAAATATCTTTTCCAAATATGCAAGGCTTTAGCATTGTGATTTATAGAAACAGAACATGATGAAATCATTTGGGCATTTTAATTTTTTTTTTTTAAATCTGAACTGGAATTACCGCTGCTGTATCTGTAAGTGTGTCTGAAAAAGTTTCGTTAAAAAGGCCCCCTCCCCCTGTCTGTCCCGGTACCTCTGTTACCTGAAGGGAGGAGCCCACTTGAAACAGTGAATAATTCCTGCACCCCATCTTGCCTGAACAGTGGGTGTTGCCTCCTTTCTGCATACATGCTCTGTGTTTTAAGGGCAAAAATCTAGATTTCAAACTCTGTTAAAAAAAAAAACCAAACAAACCACCCACAAGTGTCCCCCTGAAAATGCACCTCTCCCCCCTCCAGCAAAAAAAAAAAAACCAAACCAAACAACTTTTACCCCTTTGGTGAAAGTACAGTCTAAATCTAATGCTTGAGTCCATGCCAGGTGGTCCCATCAGTGTCCCCCCCTCCTGCTTTGTTTCAGTGTCTTATATTCTGTAAATAAAATGTGGGTGTACTTTAAAAAACCATTTCCTTCAAAACATTTCTGGGTTAGAGTAGTCTGTCTTGATGAAGCCTGTACATGAATCAACCTCTTTGTAACCTATGTTACAGTAAGAATTTTAGGAATTTCCTTTATTAGGGCCCATTAGTACTGCAGCCACTGAGTGAGCTGCATTGATTTCTAGGTAAAACAGCCTGAAATTGCCTGAAATTTATGGCATATGCCAACCTGCTCTACACTACTCCTTTTCAGTGCACAAACCTTAAACATCCTGAAGTTGGTCACTTGCTGGTGAATGTTATCCCACTTTTACCACTTATAATATTCTTTGTGGGGAAAAAGGGATTTGACTCTGGAACTGTTTTTCAGGTCAGCTGACTGCTGGTGATGGGCTGGTGAGATGTGCTGACGAGCAGCTGCGAGGGTGTCCGTCAGCAAGGGGACTGCTCTAGGAGCTGGGCTTGTGACACCATGGGCCAGTGTGTCACCAAGTGCAAGAATCCTTCTTCTACCCTTGGCAGCAAAAATGGGGAACGGGAATCCGGCGGCAAGTCGCACAGTAAGAGAAGTGCAGTCCACAAAGATGACCATGGTTCAGCTTGCGGGAAGTCGCTGGGGGATATACTTGTGAATGGGACAAAGAAAACAGATGCTGCTGTAGAGTCTAGTCAGCCCCCCACGTTTTCTGGAGATGGAAAGAAAGACTCTGTTTCCAGCGCAGAAGAATCTTCGCTCCAGAGGATCGGGGAGTTATTTAGGAGGTATAAGGATGAACGGGAAGATGCCATATTGGAAGAAGGAATGGAACGATTTTGCAATGACCTCTGTGTTGATCCCACTGAGTTTAAAGTACTAGTTTTGGCTTGGAAATTCCAGGCTGCTACTATGTGCAAATTTACAAGGTTAGTTCTTGTAGAACTTGTAATTATTTTCGTATGTTAAAGTATATCCTGTCGTCTCTGTGTTGGAGAGACAGCCTCACCTACTTATTTCTGCTCACACTTACGTTTTGATCACATGAATTCGTACCACCACAGAAGGTAAACTTTGTGTCGTCCTCTCTTCCCCTTCCCCTCACAGTGGGTTTCAGAACCGAAAATGTGGGTTTGGACATAGTGGTACTAACAAGGAAGAGTGTAGTGAGGTTCTGTAGGCATTTGTTTATTTGTGATATACCCAAAGCAGCTTTGCTTTACTGATGCTGATCCAGCATCATCTTGGTGACGAGACTGGACTGATTTTCACTTCAGAGTAATGTGAGATTCCTTAGTAATCAGTACCAACTTGTTATCCTTCTGGGAAGGAAGGACAGACTGCTTCCCAAGAATTGCTCGTGCCCAACCAGTGCTAGACCTAATGTCTTTCTTCCGAGGGTAATCCTGTTGAAGCAGAGAGAGGGAAGGCAACACACGGTGTTTGGACGCTGGTAGCTGTCTCCTGCTGGCTGACAGGCGATTGGTATTTGAAGTGCTACCTGTCCTGGGCAGGGAGGTCAGTCAACAGGCTTACAGCACGTGTGATGCTACAGGAAAATTTACCAGGGAAAACAAACAAAAAAACCCAAGCCCAAAACTGCAGCAGCCACCCCCCCATCTGTTATTGATGTCCAGGTAAGAGCAAGTCAGGACTTCCCACAGGGACGTGCTGAGAGACTGAATATTTTATTTGTTGGCCTGGCTCGGTTGGTTTGAGTAACGCTACCTCTTTGCACTCAGCCTTTAACTTTCCAAACTCCTCTGGTGTTCTGAGGCTTGAACCAAGCCTCTGCTGCACACTGAGCACAGACAGCTTTTCCAGCATCCTCCGAGTCTTTGCGGGTGTGGGAGTGTGTCAAATGGATGAGTTACTCAGGAATGCAGATGTGGATTTACGAGAGGCTGATGGTGCAGGGATTTGCTAACACTGTAAAGGAGTTGCCAGCGGTGTCTGTGATTCTGCTCAACCACCGTGAGTTTTAACAACATTGTTTTGACTCTCCTGGAGAGAGGGCAGATGTGGTGGTGAGAGGTTACCACCTTTTACTGGCACGTTCCAGGATACAGGTGCTGATCGACTTCCTCCATCGAGGAAAGCAGCGCATCCTCTCTCCTCCTGCGTGCTGCCCCGTCTCCCGTCTTCCTCCAGCCTGTCCCCTGTCAGTCTGCTCGCTTTGGTTAATGTTGGCTGCTTATAACACTGGTTCACAAGAAATCCATTGCTAGGTAAAACAGCCTAAAATTGCCAGAAATTTACGGCATATGTCATCACTGGTTAGAGAAACTGGAACTAACCATCCACCCACTTGGCCAGATCATTAGTCGGCTAATTAGGACAGGCCTGCTGCTTTGAGCCGCGTTGACGGGCTGGGTTGTAGCCTGCACTGTGTGATGCCGTGCTCTCTTCCACTCTCTCAGCAGGTGCCTTGCTGACCGTTGCCATTGGCACACTTTTTATTTTGCAGGCTGGAAGAGCAACTAAAAACCACAGGAAAGCCACCAGTGATAGAACGGCCTGCCCAGAGCATGGGTGTTTAAGCATGGGCAGCATTGAACCAAGCTGGCTTATATATGGCCCTTCAGTGCATAAATGTGGTGTTTTCAAACATTTGGCACTTCTTCTGTGGTAAATCTTACTCCCTTTTTACTGTGAAAGGCACTGGATGTGGTATTATTGAGCAGTCAGGCGGCACGTTCCTTCCTGAACGCTGACAGTGCCCCAGCAGGTCAGAGTGGTGCCTCTGGTTCCCCAAGCCATGACAAATTTCTTGGAAACAGCTCCTCTTCCAGTAGCTCCCGTCGCCAAGGTTTTCGTGCCACCTGGGCCGGGAGCACAGCCCGTCTTGTCCAGAACCCTTCCAGTTTGGCCTAGCCGAGCGGGGATGGGCAGCGTTGAGCGCATGAGGTCGGAGGGAAGCACCTGCGCTAATCTCTCTTCCCTTGCTTCCTAGGAAGGAGTTTTTTGAAGGCTGCAAAGCAATAAACGCAGACAGCATCGACGGCATTTGTGCGAGGTTCCCCAGCCTCCTGAAGGAAGCCAAGCAGGAGGACAAATTCAAGGATCTCTATCGCTTCACCTTCCAGTTTGGCCTGGACTCTGAAGAAGGACAGAGGTCGCTGCATCGGGAAATAGCCATTGCTCTTTGGAAATTAGTCTTCACCCAAAACAAGCCCCCCATTTTGGACGAGTGGTTACGCTTCCTAATCGAGAACCCCTCAGGAATCAAGGGAATCTCCCGGGACACGTGGAACATGTTTCTAAATTTTACTCAGGTGATTGGACCGGATCTTAGCAACTACAGCGAGGACGAGGCCTGGCCGAGTCTCTTCGACACCTTTGTGGAGTGGGAAATGGAGCAAAGGAGAAAGGAAGAGGAAACCAAATGTGTTACGTCTTCGGACACAGAGGGCCTGTGTGCGGAGGACCAGACTTAGCAGCGACGAACGCAACCTGTTGCCCTTCATGAAATGTAAACTCTGGATGTTTCTGAAAATTACCGAGGCTCCAGATTTTTCTACTTTACACCTTTTTCTGCCTTGTCTTTGAAAGGGCTCTAAAATGCTGTATCATGTTTTAGGCACTTTCTTAATTTTGGTTATTCCTTTTACTCTTGCCCTGAAATATCTGACCCTGGCTACAAGATAAGCATTTTGGGTTTTTTTTTTTTTTTAAGGCTTCGGATTAGTATAAGGAAGTCTGATACTTCTTGCACAATGTAGATCTTTTTAGTTAGGTTAAATTAACATTGCTAAATTATACAGTGCCAGATTAAGTTTTTCATACTACATCTGTCAGAGCAGGTCTGTACTGTGTGTAGTGCTGTTTACATTGTTGAAATTTTAGGCTGTAATAATTTTAAGGTTTTATACTGAGATGAACAGCAGTGTTAACTGTTAACTATGAATGCATTAATCCCCCAGTAATAAGGCTCTAAAAAGCTACAGAAGCAACAGCTTTTTGTACTATGGCTAATTCCCATTTTAAGCTAACTCTTTGCGAATGAGTCCAGATCATTCCTCTTCTTTAGTTTGAATGTTGGGATTGTTTTATACGATTACTGTACCTGTCAGTCAACTGAGTGGTAGATGACAATTTGTATCTAAATCTCTTACGCATCACCTAATAAAAGAGCAGTACTACCTCAGTTTTATTGAAAGTGGACTTCTTGATGGACTTCCATTTACTCTGGAAGTTGTATTTTTGTGGTTACATGAGAATATTTTTACTTGACTAAAAGAACCAAAGGTTCTGCTTCTTAAGTTTGCTAAACATTGACAGAAGCACCACACAAACCCTAAATCTTCAAGGAAAACTGTGGTATCATTCTGCTTTAATTTGTTTGATTTATACCTAAAGTATTACCTTACTTGTCTGGCAAGCACAGTACTTCTACGTGAGGAACTACCTTTTGCATTAATATGGATGAACCCATTTTTTTAAAGCTATGTTCAGCTGCTGAATCGCAGTTAATACTCCACGCTTCTGGAGCAACGATATCGGCATCTGATGACAAAGTGTGTTCTTAGTGACAGCAGTGTAGGGGAGTCATTTTTAGACTGATTTGATAATGTTTGGATAGGAGTCAGTTTATTATTTTCCAATGCCTGTACTGGGACTATTTGCCTGTTGAAACTGTTGTGACTTAAAGGGAGTTTTATTAACACTGGTTGAAACTTTTTTGGTTATTGATGCTACCTTTTTTAGTTTCAGTATGTCCACTTTTCTACACCTTTTGGTACAAGGGACAATTGCCAAGGCTTTCTATGGAGCTCAGTACTGGCTTAATGAATTTGATACACTTCAATTACACACCTTTTGTGTTCAGAGCTGCATTTAGGGGTCATAAAACGGCTCCGAGCAAACAACCAAACCAAGCCCTGGACAGTCATCCGTAGCACCTGACGGCCTCTGCGGTATAAGGGTTTTGAAGCTAAAGGGGACAGATCTGAGGTGGCGAGCTCGTCGCTGGATGCAGGATGGCAGCTTTGCACATCTGCTGTGTACCAGAGGGGCGAGCGGGAAGAGGGAGGAGGATCTGCCTGAATTCTGGCCCTGGCCCTGCCGGCTGGCGTGCAGCCCGTGGTCTTTTGTCTGGCTTTGGTCTGAGATCGCAGATCCCTAATGAAACGTGGGTATTGAAAACAGCTTAAAAGCAACCCACAAGCCCCAGATCGCATCCCTTTCGCCTGTCGAAGGGGAGTTTGGTCCCTGCTGCTTTTGCAGGCTCTTGCCGGGAGGTGTGTTGAGCGGCGGTAAGCAGCTGTAGCTGCTCTCACTGCAGCGGAGTCGGGCCTTTGCAGGAGGGGAGCCCCGAGCCTCCCGCCTGCAGGTGAATACGGCCAGAGCTTTGTCTGTGCTGCTGCTGCCTGCGGGGCACAAGCACTGCTTGGCAGCAAAGCCTTGTTCTGACCTGGTGAGCGATGCAGGCTGAAGTGCTTGTATGACTGCACTATGGCGAGCCTTTTGTTGGTGCTCTTAGTTTTTAGAGGAGGAGAAACGAAATCCCCAACAGAGGCTGCTTTGCCTCAGAGTCCCAAATGGAGACCGATTTGACAGCGAATGAATCAGTAAGTTTGAAACTACTCATTCATACAGCTATTAAGTGCTTTGTTCATCACTTCACCTTTTTGTTTCCTAAAGGGAACTTAAAATGTCCAGAGCGTGAAAACTGTGCACATGGGTAGCCAGCGTGCGCACACGCGTGGCTGCGGCTGGTTTGTGTGCCAAGCTGCAGGGTGAGGGGTAGAGCGGCTGAAGGAGGGCGTTCATCTCGCCGTCTGAACCGGGTGGCAGTAGGGGAGCTGCTGCAGCGCGGCGAGGCGTAGCCATTTAGTGTTCCCAGCGTGACGCAGCTGCTGCTTCGTGGTGAACACGCGGGACGGAGATTGATTCCCTGTTGGGGAATGGACACGCAGGTCTCGCTGGCGTTACGTCCCGTGCTCTCAGGACGAGAGGGCAGCCTTGCTGCAGGAGCAACACCACCCATTGGGCAGAATACTTGCAAAAATAGCCAAATGATCTATCTAGCAAAGTACCATTTATTTTTAGCCTAACCTCAGTTTTTTAATTACCATTTACAGAATGCGTGTACAGCCAGACCTGTATCGGTTTTAAGCTCCTGACCCAGGAGCTGAAGGTGCAACTCTTTGGCAGTGCTGAAGGTTAGAGAGGGCTTCAGACCTTCCCTTGGGCTGCCTGGTGACCGTATGAGCCGAAACAAGATGAGGCTGTGCCCTGGGATGCTGCTGACCCTGTGTGGGCGTGGCTTTTGTACGTGTGAGAAGTCTAACAATACTGGAGCCTCTGAAAAGTGCTTGTTTAATGGTTAAGCTGTGAATATCTGTGGGACAGGCCAAATATATTCACTCTCCAGGTCATGTAATTCTAATCTTGTGTAGGGCACAGGACTGCAGTGAGCAGGGATGCTGATGAAATCCTTGAAACCACTGCAGCTATTTAATTTGTATTTGTAACTAAGATTATGCATTAGAAAACCTGATGCATGTAGTGAATCTGCTGCAACTTGGGATAAATGCCGGTAGGGAGCTGTAGAGCTAGCTTGAGCAGCATACTGGAAAACTGGTCTGACAGCCACACTCTGGCATTTCGTTGCCTTCCCTTATATGCAAAAAAATACAACTCCTGTAAACTTTACTCCCAAGTAATAAAACACCGATTACCTGCACCATATCACAGTTGGCAACACCTTTAAAATTTGGCTCCCAGGTCAACTGGAGGCTCAGTTGTGCTATTTCTTACTTGTGTGGGTGTGTTTCTGAGGTCAAAGACTATTGATTCAGGTAAGGATGTGAAAGATTCTCCTGTAGCTAGATGCAGCCCCTCTTCCTGAGGGCAGCGTGGCTGGCGGGGGGTGGGTGGGCTGTCGGTGCTGCAGGTGGCAGCAGCTTTGCCTCTGTGACTTGTTTCACTCCCTGCATGTCCGTCGGAGCCTAAAGAGCCCATGGATCGCAGGGCAGGTACTAGCCTGTCCCCGCTGGTTCCCAGACAGAGCTCTGCTCTGGCTAGTGACCTCGGTGTTTTCATGGCACTGTCAACATCAGTATCGTCCTTACAGTTCTAGGCTTTGTTTCCTAAAGAAAACCCACACCCAAACAAAAACCCCAGCAAAGTTAAACACCACACAGTTAATCGCCACCTTAGTTGTGCTGTAATTTGTTGGCTGAGGTTACATCATTCCCATTCATCGGAAAGTAATAGGCACTGTGAGTTTCTGAGTCTTGCAGCCTTCTATTCTGCGGTCTGATCCTTCTTCAGAAGATCCTCAGTAAATTGGGTGCCCAGTTTTGGCCCCCCAGCTCACTCTGCTCGAAGGGTGCGCATGTGAATTCAGCCTTTCATATTAAAAAGGAAGATGCTTAACCTGAAACTTAAACTTCTTCAGGGTAGTGTTTCGATACACAGCAAAATGTAAATAGTTTTCCAAATAAGTATTGAAAGCTAAGTGTCTGCTTAAGTTTTGTTGCGTGCAAACAAAACCACCAGTGTTAACATTTTCTCTCTGGGCTCTTGGAAGATTTGGGTTTATATTTTCAGCTGAAGTGAAATACATGAGATTGTAAGAAGGCTGTAACTCCTTCACCATGAAGTACATAGGTATCTCTACCTCTTGTTCTTAGACTTGAATAGGTCAAGGTTACCATTCTTTTCTCCCAGGAGGTTATGCCTGGATGAGTAATCTTTGCTTGTTGTGGGTGGTGTGGGTTTTTTTTTAAATTGACCCAAGTTAATATTATCTCTTTGCCATACTTTCTGGTATACTGCTTCTGATCTGCATGCGAGCGACCCTTTGGAAGGGAGCCGCATCAAGCTGGAAGCAGAAGTGTTGGCCCTCCTGGGTGCTCGTGTTGGAATGCAATAGAGCTACACCACGTGTGGCTCAGGGGCTTCTGTCATCACAGATCCTCCTCCCTGCCTGGGCTACCTGTGCTGACCAGAAACCGGAGGTGGAGCAGCTGCTCCCCAAGAGGGAGCCCTCAGCCTTTTCGTTTGCCCTTGAAGAACTTCCGGAACCCATGCGATGCAGTGCCACCAGCATGTTTTTCTTTTGATGGAGAATGGCTGCGTTGAGCGCCGTGCTGGGCCGGACCTGTCACACCCAGCAAGGACTGGAGCTGCAGACGGGCAGAGGCTGCGCACCTCCCGACGTCAGTCTTGCTCAGGATAAACCCTCGTGCTTGAGCAAAGCGGGAGTGTTCCCAAGGGTGCTGGAGGTGCCAGAGTGGCTTCAGCACTCAGCTGGGGTTACGCCAGCGCGGCGTTGAGGGATGCAGCCGTGTCTCTTCTGTGCAAGGCGTGTCCCTTGCTCCCATCTCCTGAAGAAAACTACGGCAGGCCGACGTCTGTGCGACCCCCGCGCAGGTGCCGTGCTGCAGCGACTCCTGCTAGATTCTTCTCCCAGTTTGAGGGGGCTGTGGGGTGTGACCTCTTGCACTATCTGTACGGGCACACGTTTCAGGAGAAGGGGTGTGTGTGTGAATGTGCTAGTGCTGCTATGAGCTTGCCTTAAATCACTGACGTGACGGCGGTTCCTCGCCGTGATCCTCAGCCTTCCTGTGGGCAGCGTTTAACATCCAGCAGGCGCTGGAGGGCAGCCAACCCTGCTTTCACAAAGCTGCGCTCTCTGCG